GATCGTGCCCGAGCAGCCCTAAGTATTTTGAACAGTATCCGAAATTGAGGAGATTTTGGTTCCGTTCGTCGCTAAATTTGCCCAAGCTATGATGAAACTATTTATATATTTAGAAAGAGAAATCTTTGTGAAAAGATGTAATCGAATTTGTTTTGGCGTACGAGAAGTTTGAGCGGAGATATTTGACTTTGAAGGCGATGCGGTCGTGCCGCCAGTGATTAGCCTTTTACTGTTATATTATATATAGATGAGCACACACAATGTAGGCCACAGAAAATGTTACATCAACCGCTCTAAATAAGCTCATGGAGTAATTAAAAGAATGCAAAGGTATTATACTATCATGTCAACTATATTTTATTGTTAAAATGTATTTATTTGACTAATTTAAGAATGTTTTTAAAATAGTTTTGGTTGACTATAAATTTGTTTATAAAAACCGTTAAAAACCCGCAACACCTGATCATTCATTCTGAGATTGGGCCGCCTGTGGTTCACTTGTGCAAAAATACTACACTATAATTCGTTATTCGTGCCACCTTCATTTCATCAGGAACAATACCAGTGTTTTTTGTGTGTGTTTTATTGTTATGTACTCAGGTGAATATAATGTTCTTGATGGCAGGCGCAGAAAGGTTTGCCTGACCACGGTGCATGGGAATCCAACCCGCGACCTTTAGGATACTAGTCGAATGCTCTGTCAACTGAGCTACGAGCTCAGTTGGCAGAGCATTGGACTATAGTATCCCAAAGGTCGCGGATGCGATTCCCATGCACCGTGATCGATTATAAGCAACTGCATGAGTAAACCATAACAAAATATAATATACAATTTGTGTGTATTATCGAACTTTTGCAACTATAAATGGCGAGTATCGACACGCACGCAAGGAGGAAAATCAAACTTATCCGTATTCTGACTATTCTATCACATGCATGTTATATATATTTTTGGAATAATGACGTAGTTAAAAAGGTGCTTGAATGAATGTTCACGTCGTGTATTTCCAAAGCTAGAGCTTGATCAGTGTTTGTGTTCATGCATGTTGTGAGGAGTCATTGGCGATTATATATAGTAGTGATCCTGCATTCACATTAAAATTTATAGCATAATTTTGATTAACCGTTAGTAAAGATCTTCTATAATAATTCTGTATTTATGTCTTAAGTTTGTATAAAATTTAAAACAGAATAATTTCATATTGTTAGGAAATATCTTGTTGACATTACAATCATGAAGCTTTCACGCTCGCGCATGAGACAACTTATCCAAACTTCAACATATTATATGTTTTTTTGAATTGGTATGTGATGAAGATCAAGGATAAGTTTGAATGAGTGTTCTATGTTGAACAACGATTGAATATATTCAAAGCTAGAATCCCGTAACAGATTTTGATTTTGTGAACAACATGACCTTTGAATAACGCATGATTTTTTTATGACAAATCTAACCAATTAAAAAGTTATGTGTTAAGTATGTTGTAGCAATTTTAGAAATATATTACATGCAAAATCTTGGATAAGTTTCCCTTCGCACGTCGAAGAGTGTTATATCATATAAAGAGCAGATATTTTACTCGTGTGATGTAAATTTTTCTCAGCGCTAGCCCCCCCCCCTCCCCCCCCACCTCCCACTCCCATCGTTAAATCGCTGCGCGGTCCCTGCCGGCTTTAAAACTTAATCACTTGTGTTTTAAGAAGAATTCATTCAATTTATGTCTTAAATACTTTGCCTTTTGCATTGTGTCGGCCCACTGTATTACTCAATTAATTGAAAACTGTGTCTAATGATGCATTAAATGCTTTTCCCTATCACAAAGGTCGGATTGTCTCCGGACAATATACTGCAAAATAGAAATAAATCACTTTTGGAACATCACTGATAAGTCATCATTCCAGGTTCTCATAGTCCGGTTAAAAACATGACAGATTTTTGCGTGATATTTTTACTTCTTGCAGCGGCGTATTTTGGAGCAGCAAGCCTTGATCATGAAAGTATTGCAATTTCGGACGAAGAAATAGCCGGTAAGTGAAACTTGTAATGCTGTTTGCTTGTTTATCGAAGCATCCTATGGCTATGCCGGCCTTCGAATGATTTTCCATCTGTAAACAAGAGGTAAGAGTCAACATTGCTCACACAGTCCGATCCTGCATAAGTACGCTGAGTTCATGAAAAGACCCTCTAGAACAGATGTTAAACGAAGCCGAAGGTTTGGCGATCTTGTTTGTAAATATAATAATTCAGAACTTTACTGGTGAAGTATATAAGGTCCGTTCAGTTGTTGACACGAGACACGTGAAAGCAACGAATTTAAGCACAGCTTAATTCTTAAAACATAGAAATTGCCATAAACAGATAAAACCATCATTTGCAACAAACGCTTACGAACGAATTTGTCCCATCTCACTCTCCTCCGCATGCCGCTAGCGATAATAGTTAAACACGCGGGCCATGTACGCGCAAATTATGAGGCTTGCGGGGGGAATGCCTTATATTTTCCAGCCATAGCTAGCTTTCGTGTTTAATCATATAGAGGGAAAAATTACTCAAATATGACTGGCTAATGATGAGGGCATTGTTTCTTAATTCACGGCCAAATTACTTGTACCTGATTGCCTGAGACGCAAGCGCAGGAAGTTTCTTGTTTTAAATAGCAATACAAACAACGACTTCTCGCTTTGCCGTTGCGGATAATAATGTTTCTGAAAAATTGAAAACTTCTAGCAAAACTCTAGATAAAACACTAGAATAAGATAAAGTACAAATTTATGAGATGGAGAAATTAAGAACTTGACAAGGTCACAATTTACGAATAAATTTTTCCCTCTATGATTACAAGTAATCGCATAGTTCCTCGTAAAATTAAGGTTTAATTTCACTTGTGTTTTCTAAGTTTAACAAATTGAACCTTAATTTTAGTCAGTCCCATGCGATCACCTATACTAATTCTACGGCTCTGCGGAGGACAGTAGTCCCATCTCGTACGAGGCCTTGCTCTAGCTCTTGAGGCCCTGCTTGCTTTTGCTCGTTATTTGATTGCGACGAAACTAGAATGTAAACTCACCATTTAAAGCTCGTTTGCCTTATGGTCGGCACGCGAAAATGTCAGCGTTTGAACTAAGCTATAAAGCCTTTATACGGTTAAAATTTTAACCGGCCATGGGGAGTGTCAGATGTTGGGATCCGAGTATACTAATTTTCCAAGTGTACTAATTTTTGCAATATTCACCGACCAGATTTTGGTATTTTAGGTGTCTCACTAAAGGCCCTGTCACACTATTGCGTATGAGAGAAACGTATGGGAAGCGTATGAAAATTAATGAAATAAATTTCATACGCACAAAAATCCTTTGAAATGCCAGCGTATGAGTACCGTACATCTGGCGTACCTCTAGCGTATTCAGCGTGCGCCTAGAGTATGCTTATCGTGTAAAGCATACGCTCGATACGCACAAAATTTTTGAACATGCTTAAAAAAAATGTTCTGCCTCGCCGTATGCCAGCGTATGCCCCCGTATGCAACCGTGCTTGAAACGTATACAACCCATGCCTAACGTACCCCTAGCGTATGTCAGCGTATACCGGCGTATGAGTGATATTATTCATACGCTGGCATACGCTAGTACGATACGCAATAGTGTGACAGGGCCTTAACACTCTCATTTCTAAATTTCATTTTTTTGTGTGGTTTGATTTCAGTTCCTTTTCTGTGGGCAAATTTATTTTTCAAATCTCAAGCCGTCAAGCTCGGAGTTATATTTCCCATTGTCAAAAATTAATTGATTTTCCCAAGTCCATTGTCCAAAACGTTTCCTCATTCACCCGGCAAATATATATATACATGCAGGCATGATTTTAACAAAAGTTCATTTCCCGCCCTGGATATCGATTACTTGAAACAGATTTGCTTCGAAATGCCTGTATTGAAATACTAGGATGCCAGCTTATATAAGTAATATGTTCAAGTGCATGCAGAGATCCCGTCGTCTGTGTCTGAACTACCTGTCGAGTGAAAAAGACGTATCAAACGTTGTCCAGTCTATGAAAAAGATTTAAAACACTTTAACCTTTCCAGCGGTGGCCCATCGCCGGAGCTTTGAAATATTATACAAACAAAAAGGGGATTTACATTTATTGTCCTGTTTGTACGATATGATCTTTTTATAGCAATTATAATCGGTCTACTGAGTTCACATTATTTAAATTATCGCTAATCGGCAAAGTGTGACCCAAAAAAGGAAACTTTTTTGTCTAAAAAAACATAATTATATTGTTATATAAATTTCTGATTCTGGGAGAAACTCAGGAACAATGCATGTATACGAAGAGTAAAATTATGTACTTCTCCCATAAGAAACTTCCAGTGCCTTTTATGGTTATTGGTCGGTGAAATGACTCGTTCGGTGTCTGGATAAAATGTAATCACAATATTTATCATTCATAGACCTGGAGCAAGGGGGATTCGGCGAAATATTACCCGAAGTGATGGTATTTCCCGAGGGGCTTTGGCCCCGAGGGAAATATCATTACTGAGGGTAATATTTCGCCGAACCCCCGAGCGGAGGATCTATAAATGATATATTATACCGAAAATTAAAAGCCTCCAAGTTGAGAATAAAAAACTTGACACATACCTTCGTGAATACGATGTTTTATTTTCGGATTAACGCAAGTATTTGTCGCTTTTCTTTCGAATAACATATCGTTTGGAATATTAATGACAACATTTCTCAAAATTTGCTTCAAAATTTTGAAAAAGCCTCAGGTTTTACGTTTAAAATTTAATTATTCATCACTCATTTATCACTATTTATGTTTTGTCGGCCATCAAAAGGAATGCAGGCTCGTTAATTGATGACGTAAGGCGTGATATCGCAATTAATTTCATGCTCACGTGCCAAAAACTAAGCTTCCTGATTGGACGATTTGAAGTTGAGGTATAATATATATATATATATATATATATATATATATATATATATATATATATATATATATATCTGCCCTTTTGATTATATTTATAGTAGCATTTTTTGTCTTCCTTGCAAAGCAAAATAATGATTGAACAGTCATTACTGCGCTTGAGTAAATCATCCTTTACAAGTTTTAATCGACACAATGATCAATGTTAATAACAATGTTTTTGTTGCAATTTCGTTTTAGATTTATTTGAGGGTGATATTCTGTTAACGCCCGATGTTACTGAGCGACTGCAAGAATTTCGGAAAGCAGAGAGTACTGGCCGGTTTTCGCCGAATGGGGCACAGAACAACGCCATCAGGGACCGTAAAGGATTGTGGGTCACAAAAATTGTTCCGTATGAACTGCCGGAAGATTTGAAAGGTATCCTCTAGCTTGTCCAAAACAAACACAGCCGTTAAGTGGCCATCTTTTATCTATGTGTCCTGTATTCGCCATGCAAATTAAAAGTGTTCAAAATCTACGATATATAAATAATCCCAGCATGCTTTCAAGTTAACCAAACATATATAGTTTTTGTTGCCATTTTCCTTTAAGACTTACAACTTAACTTATACTTAAGGTGGCTCCATGGGGTTTGATCCCTAGGGTTTCGTTCTTCGTATATATGTAAGGTCGCGTTTACACTATAACACTGCCGCGATAAGCGAATATTATTGGAAATTAAGAGGGCTTCCATATACATTGAAATCACCAAATAAACAGCTCATGCACACATTTCTCCACCTTGTCGTAAGTTTATAGAGCATATTTTGTACTTTGGGACTGATCTTTGTCTTTGATGTGAACATTTATTCTCAGGGCCGTAGTGACGGGGGGTATTGGGGGGTGGTTAACCCCCCAACTTTTTTAGAATTAACATATTCGGAAAATCGGATTGGCCATTAGGAAAATTACGGCAATAATAGAATAACAAAATTTTAGTTGTTAAACGGAGAAAATATAATTGTATTGTCAGTATAAACTGATTTACGGAATCATGGCGTTTACATGGATAACATCTAACAAATCGTAAATCGGTAAATGTTTTTCGGTTTATTACTTCTCTGGGCCGTAGCAACCGGGGGGTGGGGGGGGGGTCTGCAGCCGTCCCAATAATTTGATGATAATCATTCTTTTTTCAAAATCATGCAGACCTTTATCATTTAAATAATATACTTGAAAATACTGCATGACAATTGATTAATTTTTTAGCGGCTACATTATCCATGACAAACTGCAAAGAATCATATTACCCATACTTTCCTGCAACTTCTCCAATATATAGTTAATTAAATACGCCTTCGCCCATTTAGTACTACTAAATTGTAAGCAAATTGTAAATTTCGACATACAGTATTAAAACGTTGTATTCTGACGATCAGAATTCTGTCAAAACTTTCCCAAAGTCCAGGAAATGACATTTCAGAGACTCTAAATCTAAACATTTTCTCGGGCCTTCGGCCCTCGTTTTCAGCACCCCAATCAAAACGAGCTTCCTACAGCACTGCATGCTTCTGTAATATGTCTGTGCCTCTCTCCTCCGCAGAGGCTTACATGAAGTTTCTAGTGAGGAAAAGTGAGCGCGCAAGGAGTGATGGGAAGAGCTAAATAATTGAGCCTCTGCTAGTTAATGCAATCAACATGGCGTCGTATATAATCTTTTGGAGTTCGGTTCGATCAACCATCGAGGGTGTTAAAACATGTTTTCGACTTTCATTTTCAGGCGTACTTGAGTATCCTGGGGTGAATTCAATATCAATATCTTCTTCTGTCCATTTGCATCGAAAAATATTGAAAAATTGCAAACGAATATCAATGGATACGAGCTATCTAATTATAAATATCCTCTTAATTGCAACATTTCTTTATAGAAATATATAAACTTCGATACTCTATTGAACTTCGATACTCAGATTATGAAGATTCATTTCAATTTCTTTCACATTTCCGTCGATTTCAAGTTTAAAAAAAGGTCAAACAGCTAGTTTGGTTCAAAAACCATGCTTCGTCGCACTATCAATTTCGCAAAACAGCTATTAGTATTCAATTTTTGATGTATATAGCTTCCTTGGGTACTTATAATGTAGAATAATGAAAAAAATTTCTCGAACTCAAATTTTGTGAACCAGGGGAGTATGTCTTTTCCAACAAAATAAAAATGGCTTGCGCACGAAATTTAAAAGCTTTAATCATATTTTGAGTTGATAGGTGGAAAATGGGTTAGGTATGTTATCACTGTACAAAATTTCAGACAATTTGCTTTAGTTTAAGCCTTTAACTATTCATTTTTTCCTAAAAAATCAGCCTTTCGCATGCTTAATTAGGCAGAGGCATTAATTAAGCATGCAAATAGCTGATTTTTTAGGATAAAATGTAAGTTTGCGTGAATAGTTAAAGGGTTTAGACTAATGCAAATTGTCTGAAATTTTTTATAGTAATTAAAAACCCAACAACTTTTCCATCTATCAACTCAAAATATGATTAAAGCTTTTAAATTACGTGCCAAGCCATTTGTAGTTTGTTTGAAAAGACACCACCCCTGGTTCACAAAATTTGAGTTCGGGAAATTTTTTCATTATTCTATATTATAAGTACCCAAATAAGCTATATACATCAAAAATTGGAAACTAATAGCTGTTTTGCGAAACTGAGAGCAATTTCAAATCTGTTCAGGGTTTTTTTATACACCCTGTATATGGGAGCCGAGTTTCACCGGTTAACGAGACAGCCAAGTGAGATCTAGCTAGCGCTTTTATGGACAAGTGGGCTATTCCGGTTTTCGAGATCTCGCTTGAAAGAGACAAGATCCCGCTTACTGGGATGAAAATGGATATCCATATGTATAAAAATAAACACTCACAAGCGGTCGCCATGGTCCGGTTGCTGGGATGAAAGTTCGACGATGCCACCGCAAGCTATTTTTACCAACTGTCAAAACAATGTCAAAACAACAAAATCGTCCCAGCAACCCGGATGACATTTTTAAGTGGGCCAATCCGGCTTCCAGATTATTGTTTCTATAGTGCGCTCGTGCACCAATGGGAGCTCATATACGCCAACTCGTACCAGGCTACTGATGTACTGGCGTTGCTTGTTGACCCCAGCTGCGCTACCCAGATCTGGGTAGTTGTTTCTGATTGGTCACGACTGAACTTAATGGTTCTGATTGGCTGGACTTATAATATTAACGAACATAGACCTTATTCATAAATCGTGACGAGGCCTCGTATCCTAGGATACGGGGGGAAAACGCAGGAAAACAAGCGAAAAGTGCTTGACAGGCCAAATTCAGATGCTTTTATATCGACTTTAACGGCTTGTTTCTTGTTGCTTTCTTGCGATTTATAACGATTTTTGTGTGTATTTTAAGACTTTGTGCCCACAACGAAAGCGGTAAACGAATATAATACATCTTTCCACTCACCATCAAAACGGCTGCAAGAAATTGTTTAATGCAATTATCAAAGATTCTAATCACAGTCTACATTACCTCTTGCCGCCAAGGCATAACTCCATCCACGACCTGAGATCTATTAGATCTTTTGACGTTCCAGTTTGTAAAACCAATCGGTTTAGTAATAGTTTTATTATGGCATCGAGTAGCAAAACTGAATAGGTTTTACTCTTCATTTACCTATTTTATATTCTTAATAACTTTTGCATGCTTATTATAAACAGACACTTTTGACAATTTAGTTAATTAATTATAATACTTTGATATATCTCAAAACTCTAATTTTTAATAATTTTTAATTGTAAGTATAATACGCAATTCAGCCCATGGCTGCAATGTATTTACCATTTCTAAATAAAGTATAAAGTATAAGTATAAAGTATTATAAAAGCGACAGGTTTTTCTCCCGTTTTTGTGTGGAAAAAATGACAATGTAGCGACAGTGTTTATCCAGAAGCGAAAAACAGTATTTTACTAAGATTTTAACGTCAATATAAAGGTTATTCCTTGAAAAATCAAGACAACTATGGAATGAAAGTATAATTTTTCGAATTTGATATTAATATGAAAGAAAACAACAGGTCAAAAATCACAAGAGAACGTCAAATGTTATTGGTGATTCGTACGGAAAAAATATGAACTATGGCTGTAGTTCGATAACATTTTGCAAGCAGCTTACAAGTTTAAAAAATGAAGGCTACATTACCTAAGTGAGTTGTAATCCTATTTCTTCAACAATAGTTTCATATTTCTTACGATTTGGTGTTGTATATAGACGTTTTGTAGCCTTGTTGGTTGTTTGTTTTTGGCCATACAAACTACGACAATAATACAAAGTCAAAGGTTTCCTTTTTCGATTGACTCCAGCATCTTTTGCTTTAAGTATCATGTTATATTTTCTCAGAAGTATTTTTTTCAACTTTCAAGCTCATTTTTATAGATATTATTTTCGAAAAAAGCCGTAATATTCACGAAAAAAGCTGCCAATTTTTCTCAATTTTCCCGCGTTTTTTCCCCGTATCCTAGGATACGAAGCCTCGTCACGATTTATGAATAAGGTCTATTGGACTTTGATTTTCAAAATCGAAATAATATTTTCTTGACACTTGACACTTGATGTTCATTGTAAATTGTACTTATCTCTATCCTTCAAACTACTAAATTGTCGATGCAAAAATGTTTCTGATGTATTGCAGGTCAATAAGATATCCAATTGAACAAATTAAATGCAACAGGGAGTTGGAAAAAACGGCAACTCTGAACGCGGGCCTGGGTAGCGCAACTGGGGATCGACAAACAATGCAACGAATTTTCACAGACTGTTTTACAGCATAAAAGCCCATACAGACCGAATGCGATTCGACAGCGCGACGCCGCGATATGTAAGATCAAATAGCTAGATTAAATGTCTATGAAAATTGAAAATTCGCGTCGCGTTGCCAAATCGCGTCCAGTCTGCATGGGCCTTTGTACAGATTGTATCACATGCATAACCCTGGCCAGTCTTGTGTTGAAGAAGATAAACAAAATAAATAAATTCGAAGCAAAAAGGTTAGACATTTTCAAACTACAAACGATAGGCCTATGTCATATGCATGATTAATGGCATATCCGAAGAATAGAGGACCGATATAGTTGCATTTTTTGCCACTGCTCCTGGTAATTAGGTGTAATAAATGCGTTCGAAAAAATCAACTCAAAAATTTCAAATCGACAAATCCCTTCAACAAAATCAGGATGCCCAAAATCCTGATAAGGAACGAATGTTTAAACCGGACCGGTTTAAATGGGAATATAAATGTCATTTATTGCATGGATTTTTAGAAAGTAGTTAATAGGTTTAGACAATTTGGGCTTGTTTAAATTAGCATATAAACGTTTTTACTGTATGGATTTTATTAGGAAGTAGTTAACATTTTTAAAGTGACATTACTAAATA